TCAAAAGAGTAATCCTAACTCATAATAAGGCCTCAAGCAGCTTCCTTGAAGCCCATAGGGCATGGCTTTTGGCCAACAGGAATGGAGATTTTTATATTCTATCTCCATTCATCCATATGCATGGTCTAACTACTCTTTTTTATATAAAGAATCTATATCCAATACAAACACCTCTTTATCAACACTCTTATTAATAAAAGAAAGCTTAGACAAGTGTTTGAACAAGCATTGCCAACACTCTCTTTTTGCTCTTTTTTTCTTCTATTCTTTTACTTTTTACTCTTCTAAAGCATTCCAAACTCTCTCCTTTCCTTCTAAAAGTACCAAAATCCATTCTTCATCATTCTATTTTAAATTATATTGGTTTATTCCTCTTAATCTCTCTTTTCTTCCATTCACTTCATATTTCGCTTTGTTTTGTCTCAGATTCCTTCTCTCTACTTCTTATCTTCCAACCCAATTCTCTTCATTGCTTTTATTCTTTCTTTGGTGGTTCAAAGTGGCAATTATTGTAAATTAAAAATAAAAAAGTATTTCTACAAAGATAAGGTATTAGTTTTAAGATAAATATTCTAAAAGAAAATCATAATAAGTAAAATTTCTTTTATAAATAAATTTCTTTCATTAATTTTTTACATTCTGTCATAATAATTTTATAAAGTAGTTTTGCTACTTTCTAAAAAACATAACTTAAAAATTCTAGATTACTTGTATGATTCTTATTTATAAATGGTCTTATTTAAAGATTGATCAAAGAATTTAATAAGTTCCTTTATTTAAGATATATTGTCATTGAAGTAAACAAAAGTAAGAAAATTTTAATTACTTTTTAGTTAAAAAAAACTAAAAACTAAAAAATATTTTATTATTATCTAAGACTTTGTACATTACTATTTATCTATCATTTAAATAGAAATTATAATACATTAATAGGTCATAATACAAACTCTAAAACTATTAATTATTCTTAGGTACTTTAAATATATTAATAAGACATAAAATAAGTAAAAATATGGATTAATAGGCATTTAGCTTATAGTAAAAAAGTCTAGATATAAATTGAAAGAAACTTGTAAGATAATGTAAAAACTTTTAAGATAAAAGCAAATATAGGCTTATTAAAAATTTCACATAAAAATTATAAGATTAATACCTGAAAGATGAACATTTGTACAACATCTTTGAATTAGATTCTACAACATCAAAATTAGGACCTAAAACAAAAGATAATAAAAATTTGGATTTTGTAAGCCACATGGATTTGAAAAGATTAAAAAGAAGTCTACATTTTGAGTTTATGACTAATATTCTTTATGTATTCTATACATATTTACTTGCCAAAATGAATAAAAATTAACAAAAGATATATATTTTTAGTTGAATATTTTTTTTAAAATGAATTTAAGAGATAATTGATTACGTATCAAATAAAATGTTAAAATCGAATATATTTAGGATAAATAAAATCCATTGTTATTAAAATATTTCCAATTTAGAAGAAGTAAAATCTTAATTTCTAATATAAACTTTTAAAATTTATCTACAATTAATATTTAAAAATATTCATAGCCAAATTATTAAAAAAATTATTATTAAAAATATTTAATTAAATTTAAAGTAAAGATATTAGATAAATTTGAGTTATACCAATAGATCATAATTAGTAAAAATAATAAAATATACTTTCAAGTTGCTTGATTATAAATATATTAGATTAAGAAAATATGTTTTATTAATTTTACCTATTATTGAGTATTGATATTTACTTATTAAGAGTGATATTTGTAATGGCCTTCTATCTACATATATTACTTATAAAAAAGCTTATAAATATTAGTTAGTAGTTAGAAGAAGGAAAAGAAAGAACCTCATATCTTTTTAGTTATATATATAGAAAATAGGATTTATTGGTGATTTAAATTAATTTTATTACTATAAAAATTATCAAGATTAGAAAATATAGCTTTAATTTGATAATAAGAGGATGAAAAAGAGTAGAATCAATTCTTAAAGAAAACTTCTATAATACAAATAAACAATCTATTAAAAAATATTATTTGATGTTATTTTTCTTCTACATATACCTACACATCTAGAAGAGCTATGGGACAAATTAAAACGAAGCTTTTGTAACAATGTACATTATTTAGTGGCTTAAGATTATAGAATTAAAAGTCCTATGCAAAAAGAGATATTTAGATTATAAACTATTTCTTCTTCATAATGTTTTTTATAAATCAAACAATACACTTACTGATTTTTTATTGATGCCATAGTAGAAAATAATTTAGAGACAAAATGGTACTAATAAAGTGCTTACAAAGTATATAGCATAAAAATATAACAAGCTAAAATGAATAGTAAAAAATTGTTTGAAAAAATTGAATAATAATCAATGAACTTTATACTTAGATGTAATTGATTTGGTGGATAATAACCTTCAAAAAGTATGTCTTTTAAAAAAAAATAGTAGAAACTAAAAACATATTAGTTCATAAATCAACAACAATTAAATTTTGAAGTAAAAAAAAAGATTGTATTGTACATTGCTTTTTTTAGTATTACAACACAACTTTTTAGTAGATGAGGGATTATACACTATATGATCAATTTTTTTTCTTGGTATCTATAATAATTCAAATTGCAATGTTATGAAAACAAATATTATATGCAGATATTCAAAAACAATTGGTGCTTATTATTTAAAATAAAATACTAATGCAATATGAACATTGTGATTCGGCATTTGATAGAATCTTCTAAAATATACATGACATTGAAAATATATATTTGGAAAAATTATTATAATCTTTTATAGAGATTTTTGGTAGATTCTTCTTCTTGCTATAGAAGGCTCAAGAAAGGAGATTGTTAATGCTTCTTTGTAATGATCAAGTATTTGGTCTCATATTAAAGTATAAAAATTGGTCAAAATTACATATTTGAAAGGTGATTATGAAAAAATTCAAGTATTTGTTCAAAAGCTCTTGAAGATATGCATTGCATAACTTTAATATTTTTTAGGATTTTCTTTTATGGTATAATATTTTTGACTATGTCAATAAAAAAAAAATAAAAAAATAAAAAAAATACTCATTTTTATAGATTGTGATTTTAAGACTATTATCACATGTATTGTTTATGATCTCTATAAATAAAAATACCACATTCTTGAAAATCTATGGTATACATCTTTATAAAAAAAACATTATTACTTTGTTATAATTGCATATATCTTTTTTCAATGCCCTAAACTTAGAACTTCTTCAATTTATCTCACCATGGTCTTAACTTTTGAAAAGAACATTTTTTTTTTTTTTTAATTTTTTGTTTTTTTTATGGAGCTTAAAACATTTTCAATCTGCATCAACAAGTTATTATATTCCATGTTTTATTTTTGTGCTATATATATATATATATATATATATCTATATCAATCATATTTCATACAATGCCTTCTATATGATTGATATAGTTTTTGAAGGGAGACCTTAATTTTATTTTTTATTTTGTTTATGAACTAAGATCTTTATTTATTTTCTTCAACATATTAATGATCTTTGAAGGGGGCCTTCTTTTTTATTTTATATTTTTCTTAAGAGTTAAAAACTTTCTCAATTCACCTTAGCATTCCAGTAAATTATTAGAAGGTACTTTCTTTTTATTTTGTATTTTTTTCTAGTGCTAGAAGTATGGTTCATGTTCAAAAGAGTGCCTTTGTATTCTTAATTTTTTTAAAGAGAGACATTTTTTATTTTTTAATTTTATTCTAAGAGCATTATTGATGTTTTACAAAGTGGTTTGGCATAGTCTTGGTTTTTAAAGAAAGTCTTTGTTTTTAACAATACTAATTCCATACTATTAAAGGACTCATTTTGAGTACTTACTTCTTTTATTTCTTGCATTTATATATTAGAAATAGATAGTAAAAAAACTTAATCCATCGAATATTATAGTAGATCTTTCAAAATGGGTGAACAAAGGTTCAACATTAGAATCGTTGATTCAAATTGTTTATTTAAGATCAGACAAAGAAAGAAGATGTAGAGGTGAATATTTGATCAATGAGTTAATTATATCTATACAAAATGATGATCCACATCAAAGATTTTGCAATGAATTACACCTGGCCATTATGCAATTGACTAATCAAATTATAGATACAAAATTCTTTACTAGAAATCACAAGAAACAATTGGATTTTGTTTGAAGAATCTCATTATGTCCATCATTAGTACAAATTCTATTCAAGTTCAAGCAAAATTAATTTCTAATCAATGCAACACTTGTTCTAAAAATTAATAAGTGCCAAAGACAATTATTGAAGAATGTAGGAATAGAATTTAGAATCCATATTTGCACAAGGACAATTGTATGTTGTCTTTTGATAATGCTTTTTTCCAAATATAATCAAGATTATTTATCCTCTAAAAAGTAAAGACAAATAATTATTGTAAATGTGACATATTCCAAAATTTTATTACCTTGGATATTTTAGTTGTTGTAATATATAAGGATTGTCATTGTCAATAATATTAATGAAATATAAATAGTTTTATTATTATTTATATTATATATTATTTTATTAGTTCTTAATATTTTTATAGAAGTTGTTAATTTGTAACTTAACAACCACAAATTAAACTTTTTAAAAGCCTTATTGTCCCTATCAACATAAGTTTCAAGTAGAGCTATTTCAATGACATTATCTATTGTTTTTGATCTAGAGCTGATTTAGCCAAAGCAACAAGAAGAAACTTTCATATTATAAATAGTTGGCCTATGACTTAATTTGATCTTAGTGTGATTGTGGTGTTTTATATTTTATATTTTATTTATTTATTAAAATAATTCAATAGCAAAGCCATATATCTCTTTTTTTTCCAATGAGCAAATAAATAAAAAAATATATACATAGTTTTTAGTAGTAGTTGACTTTACTTGAGCTTCAATCACTTTGATACAAAAAAACCATGATGGAAATATATTATACAAGTATATTACTAACATGTGACTCAACAACCACAAATATATTATACAAGTATATTTACATCCTTTTTGTGCTTTATCACAGGGTTTCCAACCACACAGCACAGGTTTCCACTGGTCATCCTATATTGAGGGTGTATTGTGAGGGCAATTTAGTGTTTGTAATTTCCCTTTTTTACTAGACTAAATAGAGGTGATGTTTTGTAATTTCTGCAGGAATTGAAAGTCATTTACACGTGTATTCAAGTGCAAGGAAGCCTTTGATCACATCCTTTCTAAGGTGGGATGTATGGCCTCTCTGCTTAGGACTTCTTCTCAGGAAGTTCTTAGTGCTTGTAAGAAATAGTCCTGAGGCTCGGACGGCGCTAAAGTCGGCCAACACGCTGGCGTTTAATCTGTGCCTCCTTAAGGTCAAGGGCCCGTCGTTCATCTTCAATGGCTCGGAGTTTCGCTTGAAAATCCTGCTCGTTTTGCTCCACGTCAAGCAAAGCAGACACCGCAGGCCGAAGTAAGAGCTGAAGTTCCTCTCTAATGAGGTCCTTGATGACAGGAACTATTTCGCTGATTAGGTGATCCTCGTTTGCTGCTTGCTGCTCCATTTGCTTTAAAAGCGGAGATAACACAGCCATAAAGCAATCCTTCTTAGTTATGGAATCGGGCGTCCTTCTGTGGTCTGGATGTTGAAATATGCGTTCAATTACATCTTTGATACGATCGACTGCATCATTTCTTGCTTCTTCACCATCCTGCTGACACCAAGGCTTCTTAAATTTAGACATTGGCCCTCTGCTGCCTATGTGCTCCGGATGGATGTCAAGCGCACGCGATCCCTGGCGCACGCGACTTTCACACCATTCGTTATCGCCTTCATCTCCACGAGATTCCTGTACAACCATTCCTCTGCTCTTCGATCCAGGTTGTTTTTCCTTCGCTTTGGATCGCTTCTTCTTCTCCTGCGCAGCAAGAATCCTTTCCATCGTCTCATACCACCTCTCAGGGAATACCTGGGAAAACTTACTTGCTTTGAACTCTTTCCTTAGAGTACCCCATAGGTCCTCGCAACTTTTGGCGCTCCTCTCGAACTTGTATCCATCCAACAGAGCTTTAGAAATAGAATCCCAGACCTTGCCATTACATTTGCCAACCGCATTTTCCATCTCAATTAAGAAAGAGTCCTTCTCCTCATTACTCCAATTTCTAGATCGCTGTCTCCTTTCACAAGATACCGCAGCTGTGCCCATTCCCTTGGAGCCAGCTTCCTCAGCGTCTATCTTCCTTCTATTCGCGTAAAAAGACTGCGACCGATTGAGGGGCTGATTCGGAAGAATGATGTCTTTTTGCCTTCGATTGCCTTCAACTTGTAACCGTCCAACATCGGGTCTCTTCAACCTACCACCGTTGGAACAAGGAACTCCATGGACGAGCGGCAAGCAGGACGACCTATTGCCTACATAAGTCGTGGCTGTTACATATCCAACGGGCAACTCGGACGGTTCCTGAATCAACATCTGATTATCGCCGGAAGAAGTCGTAGCTGTTTCATTTTCAACATGCAACTTGGATACTCCGTGATCATTCATCTGATGCGCGCCGGAAGAAATCGCGACTGATGCACCTTCGTTAATCAACTGAAGTTCCTCAAAGGTAGGGAACGGAGCCCCATCTAACTCCAAAGGACTCACGCCCATCATAGAAGAAGTTGATGGCTCCTCTCCTGTCTGATCGGAAGAAGACAACCAATAACTCAATTCAACTGGCAATAATTCATCACCAATTGGTGCATTTCTTGCTATCCAGTTCTGCAAATGAGTTAAAAGCGACGATCTTTAGGTCACGGAAAGCTATGTGCCAAAGCATATGAACAGGAATTTCAGGAACACGTTTGACGAAGTTGATAGCACCCAAACTATCAATAACTCAAGTTACTTGTCGCAACAACAACTCTTGTGCAAAAACCTGCTTCAGAATCTAGCCTGAATATTAGAGCACCAAATTAAACCCACCATTATTGAGTGACTCGGAGTCGCAAACGGCAAGAATGCGTCTGCTGCAAAATGGTCTAGAAGCGCTCCAAGAGAATTAAGTCGGGAGTACAACAGATTATCGCAAGAAGCACTCATTTAGCTCACAAACAGATCTACGATTTCTTCCCCACTGAAGTTCTTTCTCCAACTACCTTTCTCGGATTAGATTCTAAGTAGAAAGTCTGTACTCTAACTAGGTGACGGACTCTGTCAAACTTGACTCGGGTACCAAAGTGCGTCATCCCAGAAACCGAGGATCTCTACACAGGAAAGGAATCCTGATAGTGGGACGAATCCCGATAGTAGAGAAATTTCAGACAGGAGAGGGCATCCTGATAGCAAGCAAGACGAAGTGGGGAGTCTACAGATTAGAACCAAGGTAGAAGAAGAAACGAGTCATGTCCGATCCAGATTGCAAGCAGGGTCTGATAAGTTGAAAATTCAGCTCATGTTTCCCTGGACCATTAAAGCCCTGCGAAAACAACGTAGTTATTTTCACTTGGATTTCTGCTCCGTCGCTTTGGCAACTGAGCTTGGAAGCTCATTGTCGCATCGGCCTCTCTATCCGTTCACTCAGCAATACGGCTACGTATTCTATGATATTTTGAGCTTCAACATCAAGTTCATCCCACTGGGAAGTGAGAAACTGCTGAGCGCCTGAGTTTGGAAGACTGTCGAACTCTGCTCTCGATTGTGTGCTAGATTATTGTCTTGCCGTTCCTGGTTCTGCTCCAGGTCGAACAACTTCTTCACGAATTGTGGGTTCCTTTCTCAGTCTTTTTTGGCATGCTGGATTCAAACCCCCTGTGTCTAGAGATGTTATTTTTTAAGTCTAATTAGAAGAGGTTTTGTGTTTTCTGTATTTAAATGCTTTTTGAATTTGCATTCTTGTGCAAATCTTTCCACTACACCACTAAGTTCGTCAAGATTTTCGATTGCGTTTGTTGAGTTGTAGCAACTTTGTCCGCTTTCCAGTCAGCTGTAGTATCGATTTCGGGTCGCCTGAACACACTCATAAGTGGAACTGGGTTGACAGGCATCCCCAAGGAAGTGAAGGTGGACGAAGGCACCAGGAATAAGATCATGGCATGTAAGGAAATGGTGACCTCGGAAGTTCTCAATCACTGGAGAACGCGACGTAATGCCAACATGAAGTGTTTTGCAGCTATGGAGGAGCTTGCAGCCGTGATTGATCGTCTGAATTCCTTCAGTTTCCATTGCTGCGAAGAAGATTCAACTGACTCCGCACTTGTGCATCCAGGCTACAGTAAACCTACTGGCAAGGACATCCTCCTGGGGTGTGGCACCGGAGTCGTGCGTGAGCTTGTAGAGCAACGTGTCGAAGATGCAATCGACGAAGATGACCTAATTCCTCACGAATCCTTGGAGATAGACATCGATTTAGATGGTAATCGAATTCGATCTCTGAGTCCGCACATCCATCGTCTTCATAGGCTGTACACCAGGACATATGGGATTGATAAAGAGCCGACGGTTTCTTTCAGAGATTTTGTTCATGGTTTTCAACTGGACTTGTCTCCTCCCAGTCCGAGGTTTAGTGACCTAAAGACCAGGTTAGCCCCATATTTCAAGCAGTGCATCCATGATGCCCTTGAACCTCTACTGGGGCCTGTAGCCGCTGTTGTGCAGAGCCATGGGGAGGAGGAGCGGAAGCAACGAGAGGAGTTTCTTGGCCTAGAAGAGAAGAAGCTGGCTCTGAGGCGCAAGAAGATTCAACGTCTCAAACGTCACCGTGCTGGCCGATTCCAACCTTGCCGAGGGCATCTTGGGCATACTCGTCGCGGGCCAAAACTAGGTTAGGGCATCGCGTGACGTTTCCTGAGGCTGATTGGCTAAGAGAGAAGTCCAGTGTCTGGACAAAACTGTGGATACCTTAGATAAGAGTCGTGCAGTAACATGTTGGGTCATTCCGAACATAGACTTCTGCCCTCGGGTATACTCAGTTTTCTAAGTTAAATAAAGTAAAATGAAATAAGACTAGAGCAGTGTAAAAGATGTAAATGTATACTAGAGCAGTGTTCCATTGACTGTGTACGTCCAGATTGAGCTCTGACAGAATGTAAAAAACACATGTTCTTCCAGCTGAAATAGCTAAAATAGACAGTCAACCCTGATAGCCATGTTGGGGTGGTTGTTGGTAGTTGAGATACATGGTTAGTGAAGTGAAGGGAATGATGTCGAGACTCATTCATGTATATAATCTCACTATTTTCAATGCAAAGATATCTTTGTAGTGCCGCTGCAGTAGCACTGCACTGTTGAAATGGATCTGATTTAAACAAGCTCTTATGAATGACTATGGTCTATTTCGTTTCCGATGCAACATGGAAAAATTGTGATGCAGGAACTCGGTGTTGAATTTGTGCTGTGCATCAGAGGAGTTTTTCGAGCGAAATTGAGATATCGATATAGATGAGACTGGATGTGTGTTGTGTGTGTAAACCATGGAGCAACTGAAAAACCATTAGGTAGAATAATTTCCAGGCCATGGTTTCCAGTAACGTAGAAGTCCTCTACACCGAAAAGCAGCTCCCTCCAGATCAAACTCCAAAGAGAGATTTATGCCTGTTGGTTCGGTAGAAAGATCCTGAACAACGTTCTGAACATCTTCATGTGCACTACATGACGAAACACTGCAAGAACACCACGATATTCTCTAATAATTTCATATGCCATATCCTCGAAGCTCATCAGGCAACTCGTGTCTTTGAGATTTGACTCCACTGGCAATCGCATCCTGGTCGTGCAGTTCACTAGAAATCATTAAAGTAACTCAAGGAGGCTGGCAAAGACCAAGAATGAAAGGAAAAATAATAAAAAAAAAAAACCCAACTTAGAAATAGTGAAAAAATTCTACTCTCCCGAAGTGGGAATGCTACATGATTCACCCACGGAAGATGTCACAAGCCAGCTGCCAATGTGCCAATTTTCAACTCCTAGTATTTGGTTTGGTGGATGGTTATCATACAATGGAAAATACTGTAGTGCTCTAATATTCATTGTCATGTATTTTCCATGTACAGTACAAAATGCTTCGTCACACATATTCATGTTCAGTGTTTCAATATATGCTTCAAGTCCTCACATAGTTAAAAACATAAGATTGCACCTCATATGTAGTGGCATGTAAAGAATGTATCATGTTGCTAATTTGTAGAACTTGACCATCAAGCTGTTAAAACTTTAAACGGTGCAATGAAGACTGGGTTCTGATTAATGTTTGAGAAGTAATCTGATCACAGCATTCCTACCAAGCCACCAAAACCAACCAACTCTACCACGTTCCCTCTTTCTACCGCTTATACAGAAGACTACCACGTTCCCTCTTTCTACCGATTACACAGAAGACTACCACGTTCCCTCTTTCTACCACTTATACAGAAGATGTAACTTTCTAAGCTAGTTAACCTATACAAGAAAAAAAACAAAAACAAAACAAAACAAAAGAAATAGAAATTCTTAAACCTTCTATAGCTTCTTATTAAAATTGTTGGTTTGTTATACCAAAACAATTAGAAATACTTAGATTTTATTTAAAATATGCAACCAACAAATAAGATATCTATTAGGAATATAGAATCTAAGCTGATGTTGGACAAAGCTGCAAAGACATTTGCATGCCAAGCAATCTAGTCTATTGTAAACTTACATTCTAGTTATGATTAATTCCAATTGGCTAAGATAAGTAAAGACTTGACTGCTAAGAAGACTCATTTAGGCTTGGTGTGTATGTGTATACTACCACAAGGTACAATTAATTTGGTGACTTATATGTAAAATGTTATAAATCAAATTTAAGAGAGTTTTTATAAAGAAAAGACCATACATTTTTGGGATGACATTCCTATTAAAGGTTGTAGGAAAGAAGATAAAATTGTAAGTATAGATAAAGATGGATGTAGGATATTTATAAAAGAACATATTGACAATATTTCTTATATTTTAGAAAAATATTAAATTAGAAAATAAATTTTAATTTGAAGATATTTTTATTTAAAAATAAAAAAAATTGGTTTATATAAATTATACATTAAAAGAATTACGACATTGATAAAAAAAAATTAGAAATCTTTATCTAATATTATTAATGCACTACTAAAGATGTCAAACTATCATTCTTATATTTTTTACAAATCCAAGACAATTCATTGAAGGTCATGATGTCTTAAGAATACCATTTTTATAAACAACTTCAAGAAGAAGTTTTGGCATCAAATCATATATAAAGGAAGAAGATTTAACTTAAAAATATTATCAATATGTTATATTCCATCATTAAATTATTAATTTTCAACTTAGATTCGGTATTTATTTTATTACAAATTTAATATATAAAATTAGAAATTTTTGTAGAGCCTAAAGATCTAAAATTTTAATTTTTATTGAAAGATCAATCACAATAATTATCACAAAAATTATTATCTTGTAGGCATTCTTTAGACAAAACTAAACTATCTAAATATTAGATATATCTAAATTATAATTAAATTTATAATAAAAATCTTCAAAAAGATGTTTAAGTTTTAATTGTGGTGTTGCAAGTTGGAAGTGTTGAACCACTAGGTCAAGATATTACTTTTCAAGAATTTTTTTAAAATATTAACTCAGATGAAATCATCTAATTATATTCTTTAATTCCAAGAAGAATTGGATATAGAAGTTGATTAAAAATACATATTTATTAATTGAATAGAAATCAAAGAGCACTATTTATAATAAATATTATTCAACAAATGATAAAGCTTTTGCAAATGTAAAGAAAAACAACATAAATGCTTTATGTAGAACTTGTTACTAAGAAAGCTTGTGATGTTATACATATACAAAGAATATTTTAGAACCTTATAAAAATATTTTACATCATGGTTGATCTTTGTAGAATATTTTAAAAAATTTGATGATAATATTTAATAGTTAGCTTAGAAGTTGAGTTTTATTAGGTGGTTTTCTAAGAAGCTTCTAAATTAACTTATAGCTCAAGCCACACAATATAGTTTAGACTTCAATTCTATTCAAAAAGCTTCTAAATGAAGGTTATTGAGTCTAAGCCATTAATTCATCTACCACCTTGCATGACAAGATATGATACGCTTAGATACCAAGTCTTTGATCTTGTAAGTTATACAAGTAAAAACAAAATTGAAGCCTTCTTTAATTCTATCAATGTATTTTTTGAATTAGTTATTTTTATGGCTAATAAAACTATCTTGTTTATTGATAATAAACATTGATTATTATCTTCTTAGCTATTTTTTATTTTCTATACATATTTTAGTCTACATTGCTTAAAACTACATTTTCTTGATTAAAATTCTATATGTATCTATCATATATAAGTGAGTTTTTTTTTACAATTCTATTATCCAATATCATTTAATAATGTTTGAAATAATTTCTTATAATAAAATCTTAAATTTTTATATAACTAACATCCACCAAAAAACTTATCAAGGAATAAGTTTTCATTCAATTTTTTTCATTATACCATTAATTTCTTTAAATATTATTTTTTTTATTTTCTAAAAAACAAAATAATGTCCATATTTCATATTTCATCACTTTTAGCTCAAATAAGGTTTTTTTTAAGGATAAGAATTTAAAAAAGACATGTAAGTAAGTAAAATAAATACAAAAGAAAGATGAAAAAATGATAATAAGAAAGTAAGTATATTTAAGAAGAAATTGGAATAACTATTGCTAAAAATTAGAAATCTAGAGAAACTAGACTAAAAGCAAGAAAAGAATTGATAAGAATGAAGAAGGCTTTATTCATGCCTCTATATATACTATCTACTTAAGAGCTAAGTAGTAATGTTCTTTAGAACCTTCAATACATATCTAATTTACAAGGCACATGTATTTAACTTGTGAGATAAGTTTCTTATATAAGCACCACATTGTTAGCTTGTACTACAAGTTACCAACACATGCAACATATAGCTAACTTATTGGCTAAGTTTCTAACATACTAATCACCTATAAATATATATAAATGTGCCATTACATCTATGAAGCTTTTAAGAAGCATCTCTATAAGATATTATCAAATTAATCTATTTTAATCTATTTTTATATATTCATATTATCTAGATAACTATTAGACTATATATATATATATATATATATATATGTTTGTGACATTATCTTTCTTTTTAAAAATGAGTTCTACAAAGAATAGTAATCATATATTGATCAAATCTAAGATGTGACAAATTATATTTTTGACAAACTTTGATTATTGTTCTATTCAAAGATAATTGATAGGTCTTCTCAACTATCAATAATGCTCTATTCCAAGGCAAGAAGACCATCTTGATATTGAATCATTGTTGAGGCTTCTGTAATTTTCTTCAAATAAAAAATTTGTTATACCATCAAAAGTTGCTCTTATTTCTATTAAAATCACCAAACATCAAGATTTTCTTCTAAAGTAATATCAAATGTATTATATCTTTCCATCTATTCAAGGAAGAGCATTTTATTTTTGAGGTTCTTTATCTTGATTACATTGTTTTGAACGATGTGATAATTATAATATCTTATTGAATAAGTTAGAAAATGATAGCTCTTAAATTAAAATTTTCAATTGTTGAATTATCATTATGTTAGCATCACTAATACAAAAAATTCACAATGAAAGATAGGATGCAATCTTCATTAAATAGTGTTTCTTTTATAGGAAAGAATTGATGAATTCTTCATCTTAATTTTAATAATTGTTGTTGATGAAAAGCTTTAACCTTTTCTACTACATTTATAAGATTCTTTGTTGGCTTTTATGTAAATTTATTAATATTATATCCATGCCAATAAATAAGATACTCTAATCTAAATTAACAATATCTTGAGTCTAAGACTTCTTTTATCTCAAATTCTTAATTATTATTCAATTTTATAGGATGTGGTGGCATTTATTTATAATTATTTTTTGAGATATTCATTGTCTTATATGACTTAAAATGAAACATATGAAATACAAGATAGAACTTCATAGATTTTGATGGATGTAATAAATAAGCAATTAGATAGATTTGTTCATATATAGGAAACGGTCTAAGTCTATGGTAATCCAACTTGTCATAAGGACAAATAAACTTGATATTATGACAAAGTAATCATGCCTAATTGCCGATTTAGAATTGAGGTTGTTCCTTACAATAGGCATTTGCATTGAACTTTTGTTATTCTTGAGTTATTTTTAGTTTTGCCTTTATTATTGCATGTAGCTCAAATAAATGATTTGTCAAATCTTTTGTTATAAGATTATC